CTTCTAAGTTTCACAACAGTTCGGTCATGTGACTTCTTTGTTCAATACTGTATGTATATATATCCGTGTCAGTGTAAATTACTTGTACCTGATGATGACAAAACCTTGTCGAAACGTTGTACATTTGCTATTATATTAAAGTTTTTCTTCATTACCCACTCAAGCCGTCTCCAGCCATTATTAGTCTCAAAGTGGGTTCCTCGTCATCGAATAGGTTCTGTGTTGGAATGTTATCTAGGCCTGTTTTTTTAAACTCAAACAAAACAACCATGTAATGTTTCCATAACTTATTTCTATTTTAAGAACATAAAACGATGATTCTTAAATCTCACTTGAAGGACAATAGCATTCTGTTTAAACCTTCTTTCAAGCAAGAAATAAACTTTATTACTCAACTTCAGATTGGTAGTTTGTACTCATGTTACAAACTTCAGATTGGTAGTCTGTACTCGTGTTACAAACTTCAGATTGGTAGTCTGTACTCGTGTTACAAACTTCAGATTGGTAGTCTGTACTCGTGTTACAAACTTCAGATTGGTAGTCTGTACTCGTGTTACAAACTTCAGATTGGTAGTCTGTACTCGTGTTACAAACTTCAGATTGGTAGTCTGTACTCGTGTTACAAACTTCAGATTGGTAGTCTGTACTCTTGTTACAAACTTCAGGTTGGTAGTCTGTACTCTTGTTACAAACTTCAGGTTGGTAGTCTGTACTCTTGTTACAAATTTCAGATTGACAATTTGTACACTTGTTACAAAGCTTGCATGATCAGTTGTAAGTTTGTTAGTTAGCCAATTAACTCTTGGACCAATCTTATCTTATTTAAAAACATTGTCCAATAATAGTTAAATAGTAGAAAAGATTCAGTAATGAACCTTCTTATAATGAGAATAGTTCTGTTTTGACCTGTTGCAGCAATCTTTCTGAATACAAATTTTCTAGTAGTATGCTCATAATATATTAAAAACTTGTTATTTTAAACTTGGAGATTATAGATATTTTAGATATATTTTAAGTGTTATATATATATATATATATCATTAAACATTTAAACAGTTCAGTTGTTACATAAGTAGATAATCTAAAAATATAAATTTCTAAACAAAAGGTTATTTCTTGGTTTTTGTGCTTCGGTGGGAATGGTTCAGGGTTCACAATGCTCATATCAGATTTGTTTAACTTCATACATCACAGCTGATAGTTTGTTATTTTACTATTGAGCATGTAAGTAAAGAATCTATAAAGATTTCCTCCAAAATCAAGTAGGAGAAACTTAAAAAATCTTTTTAACCTTCTCGGTCCAAAAATTAAAAGGGACCACATCAACAGTTTTTAATTTAATTTTTTCACCCACCCAATTTTGAACTCTGTATGAAATACCTTTAAAAAAACAAACTTGGATATGCAGTTTGATAACTCGTATTTCAGATGGACACTTCAGGAAAATCGTCATTGACAGTTTCTCGAGAGCAAGCTTCTGTTGTTAGACATGTGATGCTACCAGATGGACAGTTAATTGAAGCATTGGACATTAATGAATCTGGAGTTGGAGAACATCAGATGCTGCCAGGTAATGTGGTAATTGTTCAGAACTCTGATGGAACAACTACGTTACAGATCCCAAGTGACCAAACAGTCCCATTGGAGACATTGCAGGCTTTGCTAGCAATGGACCAAAACCTATCAGAATTTTTTGGAGGAAGTCTAGAACAACAACTACAAAGTTCATGAGTTATTTATATTGTAAAGAGTAGCTTGATTTTTTTGTAAAAGTTATTAGAATTAAGGATTTGTACAGTACTGACTTTCTGGTGATTTTGAATGTTTACAGATGTTGTTGAATGTTCTGTCATGATTTTTGTACATATATGGTTTATATGTAAACGTTTTGTGTTCATTTTGCAGGCAAAATTGTATCATATTTCAATAACACTTTAGTATTCTTGTATTGCTTTAATATACTCAATTAAACTTATGTGCTAGTAAACTTTGGTTACTTACTAAAGTCTTGTTAACATATTGTTAAATAAAATGGACATTATTCATATTGATAGACACTAAATGGGTACTACTTTTTATTGTGTGATTAGGCAGTAAACTACAAATCCTGTAAGATTACAAGAAAGACTATACACAATAAACTTCACACCCCACAAGGCTGGAAGGTACACATGCATGATTATTAATTAGTATATTTTACACCCCACAAGGCTGGAAAGTACACATGCATGATGATTAATTAGTAAACTTCACACCTCACAAGGCTGGTAGGTACATAAGTGTGATGATTAGTTAGTACATTTTACACCCCACAAGGCTGGAAGGTACACATGCTTGATTATTAATTAGTATATTTTACACCCCACAAGGCTGGAAAGTACACATGCATGATGATTAATTAGTAAACTTCACACCCAACAAGGCTGGAAGGTACATAAGTGTGATGATTAGTTAGTACATTTTACACCACACAAGGCTGGAAGGTACACATGCTTGATGATTAGTTAGTAAATTTTACACCCGACAAGGCTAGAAAGGTACAAGTTACATAGTATGCTTGCCTTGCCTGTCAAAAAAAAAGTAATACTTCCTTGTCAGTGGGGGTCACAATGTAAGGATAATTTTAAAAGACAACATCCTGATATTTCAGATTAGGGGCAGGACTCTAATGAGGGGTGGATATCACCCTGGTGGACACAAAACTAGCTGGAAGGTACAGGTGCACAATGATACTTTGTTTTATATTTTATTTCGAGACACAGGCTGTAAGAGTAATGATAGAAATGCATAAAACTCAACACTTTGCTCATTGAGACTCTGCGGTGCTGTTTAATCTAAACTCTAATTGTAGGTAATAAATTGAGATAACTATAATTCTTAAAAGGATTTCTAGGTTTTTAGTACATCAGACCTGAAGTTAACCATAGCTAAGTTGTTAGATACTGTCCATATTCATCTTGAACTGGACATAATAGACACTTTCATTCTATATATCCACAAAAAGATCATATATATGTGAAAGAGATTGGTCAGTAATTATTATTATTGTCCCCTGCTAAAGGTGAAAAATACTGTAAAAAACGCCAGCTTTCACTTACAAAACGGGGGGGTCAGATACTGTTGAAAATGTGTGTCCATTTTGTTGGTTTGATACAAGAGGTAACAAGTACTATAGAAAATGTTTGTAAACTTAGGCCTATTATGTGGGTCAAAGTGAACATAGCCTATAACAAACGTTATTTAAGAAATAAAAGTAATTCAAAAGCACCCGCCAATAGACTATGTTACAACATTGGTGTCAGTAATGGGATTACTTTGGTGAAAATGGAAATTGTAATATAACTTTGACTAAATTTTAAAGTGACAACCCGATTAGGAAGCGAGATCGATGCATAACTAAAGATGAAGTAATTGAAAGAGGATCAAGAAGAAAGAGAGAAAATTAGAAGAGCAGGAAACAATTTAGATAAAGGTCAAAAAGCTTCAATTAGAAGAATGCGACAAAACATTAGAAGAAGATCAAGAAGAATGGGGCAAAAAATAAAAAAGACCGCGAAGAAAGAAATGGAAAATTAAAAGAATGTGGCAGAATTTTAAGAGAGGAGTTAAAAGAAAGAAACAAAATGCTTAAAAAACGATTAAAAACAAATAACTGATGAAGACGAGATTGTTGAAGCAATTGAAGATATACAGGGGGTTACAATAAGGTATGGAAAATGTCATAATGAAAAAAATCAAAGATGTCATTGAGGTAGAAAAGATACCAATGGCAGAATAAAACATCTGGAAAATGGAACGGTGAATGCGAAGATTAAGCCAGCCACACCCCTTTCTGAAATTCCCCAATAATTCTAAAACTATTTAATGCAAAATATTGAATAAGAAACATTTCATATACACATGCTACCACTACGGTTGTGTCATCTGTTACTGCACGATCTCCTTAGAATATTTCAGCCATGTCATTAACAAATCCAGTTCCAGAATTTAGCTAGCTAATTCTAAAACATTACCCAGCTAAAAAACCAACAGACTATAATGGAAAAGTACCGTCGAAATAATTGCAAAAATAAACAGATGGAATAATCGATGATACGGTATTCATATTTCTGTTCGTTTAAAAGGACTAACCTTAAAATTATAAAGTAATCTTCCAGCTGAGAGCCAAAACAATTTTCAAGCATTGGTAGATGTGTTATCCAACAGATTCAGCCTGACATTCCAGGAAGAAGTATCTAGAACAAAATTATGGAACCTTAATTGTACTTGTGGAAGGTTTGGAAAGGCTTGCCCCACTATTTTACCATGATGCTTCATGTGAACTGATGGAGTCTTTGGCATGTGACCAATTTATAGATGCCATAGATGAAGATATGAGAATTAGCTTGAAGCCAAATAGATATACGTCTTTAAAAGAAGTGATGGAACTATAAAAGTCGCAGAGAAACAACTACGGACACCATTTCGAAGTTATGAGACTGTCAGATCAAGTAGTATTGAAACATCAACTCCTGCTGATGATAGCCTAGAAGAACTAAAAGGATTACTTAGACAACTAGTTGCACAGAATTGAGGAAATAAAAAAACAAGACAGTGAGTGTTTCAAGTGGGAATAAGAACTTCTTTCAAAGGATATCAGAAAGAGGGAAAGTTTACAGATGTGGAAAACCTGCCCATTACAGCTGAGATTTTAAGGATACCAAGGAGAAAATACCCCAAGGATGAATCTTTGAGCCCAACCATATCAAAGAAATAATAAAGGGCTTTTCAGTCATTGAGAAATAGGAATTAGCTAAATTTATAGGGTCAAAGTTCAGCTCAGTAAACCTCATCTACCCCAACTGAGATAAGTGCAATTTTTATAACAAAAAAGAACCGGAGCTAAAAAATATAGCATTTTTCGTATCTCGACAAAGGTAAGTAAAAAAAAAAATTGACTTATAATGTGAGCAATCTCAATAAATTTATCAAATTTTATATGATATCTAGACTGATTTCAAAATATGTTATTGAAAAAAGAAGTAGAACTGAGCTTTACCACAAAAATAGACCTGGTGCTGTTTATTGATCAAATAGCTAAGTCAGGAAATTTTATAAGTTAGACGTACATATCGCAATTTATATATTGAAAAGTTGTATTTGAAGTTAGGCCTACATTAAGTTTTGGAGTATATGTTGAAAAATTTATTTATGAAATTAGGTCTACAAATTAACATTGTTATAACAAACTTTTGTTGACGAAATAAGTTAGTTTGTTAATGTGGACTGGGTTTGGCATTATTTTTATAACCCACCTAACGATAGAATACGTTAGTTTGTTAATGTGGACTGGGTTTGGCAGTATTTTTAGAACCCACCTAACGATAGAATACGTTAGTTTGTTAATGTGGACTGGGTTTGGCAGTATTTTTAGAACCCACCTAACGATAGAATACGTTGCAACAATATGTTGTATTGGTTTTGAATTTATGCACAAAGCTACAAAATGGGCTATCTGTGCTCTGCCCACCACGGGTATCTAAACCCGGTTTCTAGCGTTGTAAGTCCGCGGACATACCGCTGTGCCACTGGGGGGCCAACGTGTTGTATTCTCTAATAATTTGAATCTTCACACCATACTAGCATATACGACATTACAGAGTCTGTGACGACCTATAAGATAACTTGTGTATTATTTTTTATAAACAACTCTAAAGTGTTGGTGAAAGAGTTAAATAAAAATGAGGTAAGTTAAAACGGTATATAATATTTAATCATTAAAATAGAAATGGGTTTACTAGAATGATCAGTAATTCATAATTAAGAATAGTTATATCTAAATCCTAGAGGCCTCTGGTGTAGTCGTTCCGTTTAGCGTCGGTAAGATGCAGTTCAGATTGAAAATGTACAAATTAAATTCTTTAATGTAATTTAACCCTATCCTTGTCCTGTACTTCACAGGACATAATGCTAGAACACCTGAATATCGAATGTGATACACAACTACATTTATTTGATATGCAGCCGATGCTCGTGAACATGGCAATAGGAACTGGTTGTTTTGGTTCAATGTATGAAATTAAAAAAGAGCTTCATATGAGTATCACATGTGACGCTCAGTTAAGTTACTTTTACTCAAGAGAAAATGTTAACCTAGGATTCTTAAAACTCTCTACTCCACTCTCTTTCAATAATACTAGAAGGATATGTTTCACTCACATCTACTTGAGTAAGTAGTCAAATAAACGTATCCTCAAAAACCATTAAAATTTAAATGACCTAAAACGGAAAAGGGTTAAGTGCAAGGGTAAATAAAACATAATTGTAAGAATCATACTGTTACGTCTCTGGTCGTTTGTTAATTTCCCGTGTAATTTCTTTCGGATGAAACTTTAGCGATACAAGTCCTTTCTTAAATAAAACTAGTTTATTCTTTCTCAATACAACTTTGCAATATACTTAATTTCCACAGTCACTTTAACTTAACACACGCTATAATTCACAACGATTCACGCACTTTACTTACAGTCACTACCGCGCTTGACTCAATTGTCCGTCTCTGTCTGTCTGCAATTCAATTCCGATTAATTGATTCGCTTTATCTGCCGCACTTATATACAAGAATAGAGGGCGTCTCGAACGCACTAGCCTCTTCGTGAATCTTCTAGACACTTATCACGTGTTACCAGCGTCACTTAACCTCCACTGTCGTAACGACAGCGGAAGTCGCGCGACGCTGAGACCATGCGCGCTGGAGTTTCTAGAAGGATCGTGACTTAGCGGGCAACTTCACGAATGTCCCAGCGTTTACTAGACGCCCTCTTTTTTAGTATATAGATAGATTCAAGAGAGGTAAGCGAGCAGTAGGCACCGTAAGTAAAGTGTGTGAATCCCTGTGAATTGTAGCGTGTGTTTATAATAAAAGTAGTTAAGTTTAAAGTGACTGTGGAAATTAAGTGTATTACAAAGTTTGTACCAAGAAAGAATAAACTAGTTTTAATTAAGAAAGGACTTGTATCACTGAAGTTTCTAGGAAAGAATTTTTACGGGAAATTATCAAACAAGCAGATACATAACAATACT